ACGACTGTCTCTCAATCCAACCCACCTCACAAGATTGTTGTGGGTCAAATGTGGGTAGGATTATTACATATACAATCTTGAATTATACAAAAAAAGGTGAAATGCGTATCTAATAATAATGTGAATGCATTCATCCTATTTTTTGAAAAGGCATAGAGAGAAGTTAACTTGGATATGCCACTAGCTCTCTTTTACATGATTAGCAGAAGATGGGAAAGTTGCATAAATCAGAAGATCATGAATTCATAGTTAACAATAGCAATAATAAAACTGTATTAGGAGATTTAGGATGTAAGCTATTAAAATCACTACTGTAGAGTAAATTTGTACATGTGGGCTGACCTAGTAAAATGCTTTAGGGATATGACAGAAAATTCACTGTACCATAGACCCCCCTGCCATGGGATTTGTTTAAGGGTTTGAAGGATTTGATTAAAAGATACTGTGAAACATCATTATAGTATTTTTTCACCAAATGTTTATTCAACCTATTTATAAAATATAGCAAAAGCAGTTTCATTTACTCAGTCTTAAGCTTTGCATGTACAATTTGTGGCTAATTGCTCTGCATATCAGTGAAGACAATTTCCTTCCCTTTCTTTAGATGTTTGAAAAGTGCAAGTGCATTTTCCCTTGAGCTCAGCTCTAGTGAATTCTAAGCATGTATATGTGTACAGAATTGTTACAAACATAACATACATGCACATTATTTCAAATTCCAAATTCTGTACCAATCTTTCTAGTTATCTGTAGGTAGAAAGTCTTCAAGAGTGTAAATGCCACCTAGTCCATTTTAGGATCATTAGCCATCCCTTCTCTGAACTGAAGCCAATAGGCCATTTTCAACTGCCACTCTAGCTAAGTCAATTTTCATTATTTTAGCTGCCAGACATCATGTCATTTTCAAGCTTCTTGTTTTCATAGTTGTCCTGGACTGTTTAAAATTCCATCTCTAGTTCCAGATGAATCTGATATTGATACCTGCCTAACTGGAACCCCTCTTTTTCTATCAAACAATGTATGATAAAATGTACTCTTAGTCCCTTATCAGAAAAAATAATCCAATTAGTTTATTCTGGATTTCTGCTCATGGATACATGAACAGCCAGCAAGAGAACAGGATCACCATAACTCCAATTTGATTTTGGTCTTGTCCTTTAATACAGTACAGTATTTGGCATCTGAATTCAATTAGCTGAATGTTGAAGTAGATACTTGTAACTTTAAATTTCTTCATGTTTAGATTTAACATCTAGCCAAATATGTTTTACCATATAGCCTCCGATTTTTTTTTTTAATTGAAAATTTTTTAAAAGTTTTACAAATCAACCCTCATCCAATCCCTCCCAACCCCCCCCTCCCCCCTCCCCAAACTTCCCAGAACTGAATATAGGCTTATTTAAAATTTTAAAAAACCTTTTACAACTTATAAAATATTTAATAATAAAATATACATAACATGAACATTAAAAAAAGAAGTACTTAAAAAAGAAATAAAAAAGAGAGGAAAGAGAGAGAGAAAGAAAAAGAAAGATAAAAAAATAAAAAAAAGAAAAGAAGAAAGAAAACAAAAGACGGAAAAAGAAAAGAGAAAACAATCTATATAAACTATGAAAAAGCTAAATGATATTTTTCCATATCCAAATTATATTGTATAAAATTTATCCATTTTTCCCATATAACAAAAAATTTCTCTTGAGATTGCTCCTTTAAGAAAGCCGAAATCTTTGCCATTTCCGCCAGGTAAGAAACTTTATAAAACCACTCTTGTAAAGTAGGCAAAGATTCCTTCTTCCAATATTGTCCTACTAACAGCCTTGCGGCTGTAATCAAATTTAACATCAATATAACTTCCTTAGCATCACAATCAGTAAGAATACCTAATAAAAATAATTGTGGGGTAAATTTAACCCTCCTTCTAAAGATTCTTTGAATATTCCACCATATCTTAATCCAAAAAGCTTTTATATTTTTACACGACCACCAAATATGGTAATAAGTAGCGTCCAAACAACCACATCTCCAACATTTAGGCTGTAGATCAGGGTACATAATAGACATTTTTTGTGGATCAAGGTGCCATCTATAAAACATTTTGTAAAAATTCTCTCTTAAATTCTGCGCTTGTGTAAATTTAACATTCCTCACCCAGATAAGTTCCCAGGTATCCAATGGGATTGGTTCACCAATATTTTGTGCCCATTTAATCATACAATCTTTGATTAATTCAGATTCTGAATCCATTTCAACTAAAACCCCATAAACCCTCTTAATATGAGTTGGTCTTTGATCCCTTACTTGTTTAAAAAGATTTTCATCTTCTCTAAGCCAACCCATATTACGATCCGTCTTCCATCTGTCCACTATTTGTCTATATTGAAACCATGAATAAGTAATGTTTGCATGTACTAAGTCTTCCAAAGATTTTAACTGCCAATTTTGACCATCCCATCTAAGTAGTTGTGTATAAGAAACCGTATCCATCTTAACTCCTCTCTTTATCCCCTCTATTGCATGCCAAGGTATAGCCCATAATGGTATTTTAAAATCACTTTTATAATATTTCCTCCACACCCTAAGCAAAGAAATCCTTATAATATGAGATTTAAAAACCCGATCCACTTTTTTATTAAAAATTAAATAGGCATGCCATCCAAAAAGTAAATCCCAACCCTCCAAATGAAGTATTTCCACATTTGTTAAATTCGTCCAATTGCTAATCAATGTTAGGACCACAGCGTCATAATATAGTTTCAAATTCGGTACCTTGAGTCCACCTCTCTCACGAAAATCTTGCATAATTTTAAGTTTTACCCTTGGTTTTTTCCCTGCCCAAATAAATTTGTTAATACCTTTCTGCCATTCATTTAAATTAAGTTCATTCTTTAAGATAGGTAACATTTGAAACAAAAAAAGAAATTTTGGTAGGACATTCATTTTAATAACTGCAATTCTACCCATAAAAGATAACTGTAAGTTATCCCAATTCTTTAAATCCTTCTGTACCCCAATCCACAACTTTTCATAATTGTTTTTATACAATTTTACATTAGAAGCAGATAATATGACCCCCAAATATTTTACCTTATCAACAACTTCAAAGTCTGTTAAGTTAACCAAGGTCTGTTTATCACAATTAGTCATATTTTTGGGTAGTATTTTAGTCTTATTGTTATTGATTTTAAAACCCGAAACACACCCATATTGATGAATCAATTGTAGTAATTTTACTACCAAATAAGTAGGTTGAGACAAAGTAACAACCAAGTCATCTGCAAAAGCTCTTAGCTTATATTCTTTTTTATTAATCTCTATTCCTTTTATTTCTTGAGACTCCCGAATTTTAATCAACAAAATTTCCAATGTTAAAACAAATAATAACAGAGATAATGGACATCCCTGTCTTGTACCTTTTTCTATTGTGAAAACCTTTGACAAACCCCCATTAACAATAAGTTGAGCAGTCCGTTTTTGATATATGTTAGATAAAACTTGTAATATATTTTGTCCAAAATTCATCTCCTTGATTAAAGATAACATAAACTGCCAGTTCAATTGGTCAAAGGCTTTTTCAGCATCCAAAAATATCAGCCCTGCAGAGACTTGGTTGTTTTTATCTAAATATTCTAATAAATTAATGATTTGTCTAACATTATTTTTCATATATCTTCCAGTTGTAAAACCCGATTGGTCCTTATGTATAAGCTGCTGCAAGACCCCCATAAACCTATTAGCTATAATTTTTGCAAAAATTTTATAATCCACATTTAAGAGAGATATGGGCCTATAATTCTTGGGCAACGTGAGATCTTGATCCTCTTTTGGAATCAAAGATATAAAAGCATTGCGCCATGACGGAGGAATCTCTAAACCTTGTAATATATTATTAAAAAGCTCACATAAAGGTTGAATCATCTCTTCTACTAGGGTTTTATAATAAATAGCTGTCAAACCATCCGTACCCGGCGCTTTGCCTAATTTTAATTGCTTAATAGCTGTCACAATTTCCTCATTGGTAATTAAACCATTAATCTCTTTTTTCTGATCTTCTGTTAATTTAGGAAGATTAGCTTTGCTTAGATAATTATTTATATCTGTAGTTTGTACATTAGTATTCTTATATAACTTTTGATAATAATCTAAAAAGATTTCTTAATCAATTCTTTCTGATAAACCAATTTACCATTATAATTTATTTTATCTATAGTTCTCTGTCTCTGTTTCTTTCTTAACTGATAAGCCAGCCATCTCCCTGGTTTGTTAGCATTACAAAATGTATTTTGCTTCATAAACATTAAATTAGTTGCAGCTTGGTCAGCCATCAACATATTAAATTGTGTTTTTAACAATTTTATAGCTCCTTTCACCTTTTCATCTAAAGGATTTGAAATTAAAAGCTTCTCTTTTAATTTAATCTCATCTTCCAATTCTTTACGTTTCTGAGTCTGCTTTTGTCTATGAAAGTTATTCATTTTTATCAAAATCCCACGCATAAAGGCTTTACTTGCATCCCATACCATTGACATTGATGTTCCCTTATACATGTTTAAAACAAAATAATCCTTTAAACATTCCTTTAATTTTTGAACATTTTTTTCTTGTTTAAATAAATTCTCATTCAACCTCCAGGATCTCCTCTCCTCTTTCTCAGCAACCATCCAAACTGGACTATGATCTGTCAATGACCTAGGAAAAATTTTTACATTCTTCACCCTGTTATATAAATCTGTTGTAATCAGGAAGAAGTCAATCCTTGAGAAAGATTGGTGTCTATCTGAGAAGAAAGTAAAGTCTCTTTCCTCTTGATTACGTTCATGCCAATAGTCTCTCAATTCCCAATCTTCTTTCAAATCAAAAAAAGCTTTAGGTAATTTAACCTGTTTGAAGAAAGTAGAAAAACCTTTTTTGTCCTTTTGTGTATCTAAAACACCATTCCAGTCTCCCATTAATATCACTGACCTATAATCCAACAGAGTTATTTTCTGATGTAACAATCTGTAAAATTGTTCCTGTTGCTGGTTTGGTGCATACAATCCCACTATAAGTATTTTCTTACCATATAAGCCAAGTTCAATCATGACGTATCTTCCTTGAGGATCTGATTCTACCAGACAAGCCTCCGATTTTTAATATAGCCCTAGCCATGAACTGGCCCACAATAAAAGCTAAAGTATGTACATAAATGGTTCATATTAAGGAACTTTAATGAAATGTACTCAGTTCCCTTAATTCATCTATTCTTCCAGTTGTGAAAAATGCTCAGAGATGCAATACAATTAAATGAAGAACTAAGAAAATAGATTAGAGAGTTTGTATCAGGACTATGCCAGAATTATTGTGTGACAGATGCAATAATTAAATCAAAGAAAGTAAGGAAAGTTTTCTAGAATTGGACCTAGCTAGAATGATATGAAATTTCAAGTACATTTTAAAAGCCTTCATATACTCTCATTCTTTATTTTTTCAAAATTCATTTGATTCATTTGAAACTATGCTCTCATCTTTATATTATATAATATTAAGAAATTGTGCAGTACTACACATTTTCTTGGGTTACACATTAGATTAAAGAAAAATGTGGCTTGCTTAGTTTTGACTCAACATCTGGTCATTGGAATGTCTAAATCACAATTTATGGCTTAACACAATGTGAAAATCTTGCCATTGATGCTTACTTTATGAACCATTATTTAAAACAATGATTTAGAAAGATACATAAACTCAATCTCTGGATTTTGTTTTAATAGAGGGTATTTGGACAGGCCTTCTAAACGGAGGAGGAAATCCTGAACATAGTCAGGTACCGAGTTTTATAGAATTTACAGGTTAAGACCAACACATTCAATTGCACTTAGAAACTTATTTGCAGCCAATGCAGTTACTGCCAAACAAATGTCATATGGTAATAATGACTCTGCTTTGCCAGTACATAGGTTGCTGAAGTTTGGACCAACTGCAGTTCCTAGTTAGTCATTAGAGGTAGAAGCTTTAATATGAACTCATACTGTGCTTAATCAGAATCACATTTTGTCTACCTCCACCAGTGCTCCATGGGTCACTTCTGCCACTTCTGCTGACAGTCCTCAGTAAACCAGACAATGCCCATAACTTTGGCTAATACAGTAGGAAAATGCATGAGAATTATTATGTCAAGTAACCTGCTGCTTTCAAATTCCAGCCAGATGCTCAATACGCTGCCTGTCAGGATCATTGGGAAACTTTCCAAGCAGCCATTTAATGCCTTTCTAATAGGCTCCTGCACTCTGGACTGTCCTAATAGATTGCTCAAACTGGGGAGGGAATGGCAAGAACAAATTTAGTCAGGATCAGGAAGTAATTTGATACAACAAAGGGCTCAGTCTAATATCTTCTATATCAGAGCATACACTATCTACTCCAAAGTAAAGGCTAGGCCTAAATAAATCTTCTTGTATGCCTCAGGTCAGATATTTAATTGGGATAATCCTGTAATTGTCATGAGGTAATGAACTCCTGAGCTTTCCTGGAATTCAGAGCATGGAGATTAAAGTTTTACAGTATAAGTAACTAGTAGCCTCAGATTGATTTCATATAAAGCAATGATTTCCCCCCCCCCCACTTTTCTTTACTCTGCTGGTTTCAATCTTGCCTACTAGGTGGGCCGCAGTCAAATTACTCCTGAGGAAAAGTGGTCTTCAGCAGAAGAAATCTTACCTACTCTTGCTGTAGGTAGTTCAGCAGGTTATATGAAAACTTAGTTCCATAGCTACTTTTCTTCCAAGATAAAAATAAATAGGTTAAACAAGTTTGTCTACATTGTTTTGGGGCATTGATTTTTATCTTACATATGATATTAAACATACATTCTAAGATGTGACTGTCTTCCAGTTCCTCACCACTTGATAATAGTGTAGTTATGTGGCAAAGCTGATAAGGATCTCGTACTTTTCCATTGTACTAAGTAATAGCAAAATCTTCTAAAAATCCACTCTGTATTCAGTTTTAGATAAGCCTGTCAGGCCCCATTTGTTCCTCGCACATTCTGTCTTAATTTAAAGCTTTCAGATGCTTCACTTGAAGAATGTTCTTTGTTATTTTTCTATTTTTTCCCACTCAACAATTTAATTTCTTTTTCTTCTCCCTTTCTGTACTTTGTGTAAGCCCCTTTAGGAAAGGAGTAACTGAACAGGGAGACAAGATAACAATCTGAAAAGAAGGTTGCACTTTTAAGGTTTGTTTGTTACTCCATTTCATTCTATATAAAGGGGATTAAAATGTTAGAGTAAAAACTACAGAATGTCACTGTTTAAGGCTGCAACCATCAAGGAATTAATGGTAATGAACAATTTATTTTTGAGTAGACATGCAGGACTTTGTTGTCAGTATAATGTTTCGAAAATAGATCCCCATGAAGACTCAGTCGTCTAATCAAGGAAAAATAAACAGACACATGGAATCTAAGATTGCTGTAACCAATAGAAAGAGACAGAGGAGCAGGTCACAAAGAAGAGTAGAGATAGGTGTTCTAGATCTGCAGAGCTGGGGGCAAGAAAGGAGAAATTCATACTGAACTGTTAGCAAAGAATGCAACCAATACCAACAACAACAAACTTATTTAATTAAAAGGGAAAAAAAGAATCCATGTATTAGTTACAGTGATGCTTAAAAGTTTGTGAATAGAAGAACAAGTATAATGTGTTTGACTCATTTGTTTAACTGAGTTCCCTTTATCTAGTCTTTAGGATGTGTGGAGAACGGATCACATTTTAGGTCATATCTGTACAGCAATATTGAAAATTCAAAAGGATTCGCCAACTTTTAAGCACGTTGTATTTAGTGAAAAATATAAAGAAAAGACAGTAAGATGGTAAGAAAAGAGAGAGCTCCTTAATATTTTGAGATACAATATTTTGCTTCAATCTTCTCTAAGAACAACAATAACAACTCTATGTACCAAGATACTGATGTAAACAATGTAGGATGGTTTCCCTATAATTTAAAAGGAAGTTAGATTTGAAGATTTCAAGTTCCACTATTATAGGCAAAGAATATAAATACTAGATCTAATAAAGTATTAATTAGCAGAATATAAAGAAGAAATTAAACTTAGCACAATTCTTAGTTAATGTTTACTTATTCCTGTAGATAATAGATTAATACTGATTCAATTTTTTTAGATTCAATTGACACTTGAAAATGCCTTCATCTAAAAATTCCAGTTTAGATCTGTAACTGAGAAGAGAGGCTAAATTAAACTGGTTTCTAGCTTCTTGTCTGGCAAGCTTTGAGAAAAAGAAAGAGAAAATCTTTCCAGAACTAGCAGAAAGGGTGGGCACTGGGTAATATTTTTATTGTGTACATGCCCAGATCTATGTGTTTCTCTTTCAGATTGAGAAGTTACCTACTGGGAAAGTTCAATCTCTGTGATAGGAGCTGACACTATGGTCAACTGAGAAGACAACTGGGAGTTCCAATAATAAAAAACAGAGAGAACAAAGATCCAGCATATTGACTATCAGTCTGTCTGACCTCAATACCTGGAAAGATTACAGAGTGAATAATAAAGAGATTTGTATGTAAAAACCCTAGAAAACAATGTGTTTATTTATTAGACTTGCATGCCATCCATCTTGCCTAGAGGTGTCTTTATGCAGCTTATAAACAATGCAAAACAATGGAGCAATGACCAATTTAGCATAGATTTGTTAAGAATAAATCTTTCAGACTTATCTTATTTCATGTTATGATCAGATCATTTCTTCATAAACAATGGGAAGGCTGAAGACTTCATGTACCCTAATTTCAGCAAGACATCTGACTAAATATCTCATGACCTGCCATTTAGCAAACTATTTAGCTTGATTAAGTGGATGCATAATTGGCTCAAAGAATGATAATAAATGGTTACTCATTACACTGAAGAGATTTATCAAGTAGGAGGATGCAAGGACCAGTCCTGGTTTCCCTACTTTGCATATTTTCATTAATGATTTGGAAGAAGAGGCTGAGGGAACATTTATATAATTTTGCAGATGATACAAAATTGAGTTTTGAACAACCAAAACTGTGGAAGGCAAAAATGAATTTCAAAACAATCTCAGTGGAATGGAGACACTGAATAAAATTTAACAGTGACAAGGGCAAAGTTACTAATTTAGGAAACAAAAATCAAATATTAAATATAAATTTAATATAAAAAGGTGAAAAAAACCTGACTTGGTAATTTTACTTGTGAAAAAGAACTTGAAATACTATTTGATTCAAAACTAAATATAGCTTGACATCTGATGTCTGAAAAAAAGAAAGAAAAAGATGCAAATGCAGTATTAGGCTGCATCAATATAACATATAACAATTGTTCCACTCTATTTCTTTTAATCAGATCCCACTTTGAGTACTGTGTTTATTTTTCAGTTCCATATTTTAAGGATTCAGAGAAATTACAATTAAGTTCAAATAACTGCAACAAAAATAACCAGGAAACTAAAAACAAAGTCCTACGATGAGCAATTGAAAGAGCTAGATATGTTTAATTTTTTAAAAAAGTTGGGGGGGGGGATATTATAGCATTCTTTAAATATCTAAAAATGCATTATATATAGAAAAAAGTAGAAACCTATTTTTTTCTTGCTTCAGATTGCAGGAAACAGGATAATGAATTTAAATGATAGGAACACAGATGTTAACAAAATGTCTCAACAGTTAATCAATTACCCAGATTGATCATGGGTTCCTCTCTATTTGATGTCTTCCAATGGAACTAAAGAGTCATTTGTCTGGGATCCTTAATTGAGATTCTTACACTGTGCAGAAGATTGGATTCTGTGAACTCCATGAGTCTAATTCACATTTCATTTAGTGAAAATTAAAACTAATGAATTATAGCTGATATGATTATTCTCCATGTATAATATATAATAAGGTACTCCCTCTTTCACAATAAAAATTACAATACATCATAAATTTTTGAATGGGCTCTGAAGAGATCAGATACAGCATTGAGGTCATATGTTCTGTATCCCCAGTGCACAGATTGAATAAACAGTTAAATAATATTTTAAAGTGGATTTAATATACTTTAAAATGGACTTCTTGGTGCTCTCTGAGCTTGGTTGTTTTCTTGTAGATATTTCATTGCCAAACTAGCTATGAAAAGGATTATACTACATACATCTCAGAAACAGACATCGCCACTAACAGACTACTACAACCACATGTCATCACCATAGCACATAAACCATCTAAAGCCCTCTAAAATATGCTAAAATGAACTAAAGGTCCAGCAACCTTCCTTTCCAAAAAACCAGAAGTTATTTATAACCAGTGGTGGGATTCAGTCGGTTCGCACCACTTCGGCAGAACCAGTAGCTAATTTTTTGTTGCCCAGGCATCCACACAGAGAACTGATTGTTCACATATTTGAATCCCACCACTGTCTATAACATACAGTGTAAAGACAACCATTACGCAGAATAAACAGAAATAAAACTAGCAGAGTCCATCCATGTACACCAACTAACAGCCTGAAGACACACAAAATATAGAATAACAAAAGTGGAAGGGACTTTGGTGGTCTTCTATGCCAACCCTCTGCTCAAGCAGGAGATCCTATAACATTCTGAACAAACAGCTGTCCAATCTCTTCTTAAAAATATCCAGGCATGTTTTTGCTTTTGGCATAGCCTTAATGAGAACAGATTCAGCATTTTGTCTAAGTATTTTCTCTGAGAAACATTTAGCACAACTGTCCAATCAAGGAGCCACTAAGGTCATGCCTATCAACACTGACAGGGCAAGCCAATAGTCTATAAAATGAGAACAAACCCCACTCCCTATTAGCACTGATGATATTAGCTAGTTTGGTAATGAAATGTCTGCAAGAATTAACAGACAGATACAGACAAATGAAAAATTAGAAGATGCTGTGATAACAATGGAAATGGAAAAGATATATTACTTGTCAAGATCTCAGAACACATTTGAGGATAAGGAAGAAGAGCTGATCAAATGGATAATAAAGCTGTTAGGAGAAATGCTGGATATTGACAAACAAGAAATGAAAAGAAAAACTGAACGAGAAGGATGGAGGCTGTTTATTGAATATAAATGGGTTACGCGTTCTTCCAGAAACACTTCAATCCAATTCTTTTCCTCATTCCAAACAATATATACAAAAACAGAGGAAGAACTACTTGATGATTTAAATGTGCTGACTTGGAAAGTTATTTAGCAAAGGAAGAAAGCTAGAGTAAAACTGAAGAAAATAGAGGTTTTGACTTATTAGATGGGATATTATACTACTAAAGAGATGTTTGAATATGGCTAAGAAAATAGATAACTGTTAGAAATAAAAAGATTATTATAATTAGAAGCATAGAATATTATACTTTTTATGAGATGGGAAATATGAAAATTCTAAAAGGGTTTGAATAGGGGAGGCTTTTGGTTACCCAAATATATTTTATTATGAGAAAATCATAAGTGATAGAGGTATTTTGAATATTGATGGGGAATTAAAATTTTTTTAAAAAGCAAGAAAAACAAGATATTGATTGAATAAGTGGATTTTTAGTGCAAATGCAATTGAGAGATATTTGGCTAGAAAAGATATTATAAACTGATACTATCAATATTATGTATAATACCAGGAAAATGTGATGAAGATATCTTTATTTAATTGTATATGTATTAACAGTAACAAGAACTTGCCCAGTATGGAAAAATACATACCACCAGAAGAAGAGAGGACCAAAAAAACACTGGATGGTGTAGTATTGGACTAGAGTGAGAAAGTTAATATGTACCACTGTATTACTAATAGACCCAGACAATGCACTTTGCTTATTAAATACCTATGATTGTAAAATTAGAAAATTGATTATATCTATCTATCTATCTATCTATCTATCTATCTATCTATCTATCTATCTTTGGTTATTCAGGTTTTCTCCCGCGTAAAATTGGAAGTGTCTTGGCGATGTTTTGATGAAGTCCCATTCGTCATCTTCAGGCTGGTGCTTTCAGCTTCCTGCTTCTAGGAACAATGTGTGGTCGTAGCTGTTTCTTCCTTTTAACTGCCATCAAGACACTTCCAATTTTACGCGGGAGAAAACCTGAATAACCAAAGACATACATACAAACACCCACGAAAACCTCAGAAAACACACACACACACACACACACATATATATATATGTAGGTCTTTGGTTATTCAGGTTTTCTCCCACGTAAAATTGGAAGTGTCTTGGCGACGTTTCGACGAAGTCTCATTCGTCATCTTCAGGCTGGTGCTTTCGGCTTCGTGCTTCTAGGAGCAATGTGTGGTTGTAGCTGTTCCTCCTTTTAACTGCCAGTGGGGGTATGAACTGATTGGATGAGAGCTTGGCTGTGTTCTGATTGGATGGAGGTGTGTTCTGATTGGTTAGGAGTTTGGCTGTGCTCTGATTGGCTGGGGGGTTGGCTGTGCTCTGATTGGCTGGGGGGTTGGCTGTGCTCTCACCTGTCATTGCAAACCTCTACATGGAACACTTTGAAACCCAAGCACTAGAAAAATCTGAACACAAACCCAAACTCTGGCTCAGATACGTAGATGACACTTTCATAATCTGGCCACATGGGAAAGAAAAACTGGACAACTTCCTCATACACCTCAATAGCCTACACCCCAAAATACAGTTCACCATGGAAACAGAAGCTAATAACCAACTTCCCTTCCTAGATGTCTTAGTCTACAAGAAATCCAATGGCTCCCTAGGACACACCATCTACCAGAAGAAAATACACACAAACCGCTATCTGCATGCTCTCTCACACCACCACCCAGCACAGATCAACTCCGTAGCCAAGACACTCATCTCTAGAACAAAACACTTAGCTGATGAACAACACCTAAAAACCGAACTACACACTCTCACTAATGTACTTACATCCAATGGATTCCAACGAAATAAGATTACCAAACTAATCCAAAAAGAAACCCCCACTAAAACCCAAGACAGAGAACAAGAAAACGGCAAAGCCCTCCTCCCTTACATAAAAGGCACCACAGACAGAATCAGTAAGATCCTCCACAAACACAACATTAAGACAGCATTCTGCCCAAACAGAAAAATATCCACCATCCTAAGAAACCCCAAAGATAAAATTGAATTAGAAAATCAAGGAGTATACGAAATCCCATGTACCTCTTGTCCCACCACATACATCGGACAAACCAACAGAAGAATAAGTGCACGTATTGAAGAACATAAGAACTCAGTCAAAAAAGAGGAACCAACTTCTTCCCTGGTCCAACACCTAAAAATCACAGGACATGAAATTGACTTTAAAAAGACCAGAACTATCGCCAAAACTGAACATTTTAATAACAGAATAATCAGAGAAGCCATCGAGATAGAAAAACGCCCACACAGCATGAACAAACGAAATGATACCTCCCGCCTACCGGTCATTTGGAAAACCGCCAACACAATGGCTCCCCAACACAAAAAATGACACCAGACCCACACTCACAAAAACCACACAGGATGTCACCACCACACATCCACGCAAAAAGCAAACCCAAAGCCACACCGATGATGAGG